GGGGGGGGGGGGGGGGGGGGGGGGGGGGGGGGGGGGGGGGGGGGGGGGGGGGGGGGGGGGGGGGGTAACTGTTAGAAAAGGGTCGCACGCGTTTGCGGTGCATTCGCAACAAACGAGCGTGAAGACCCGCACGTTTAGCTTTCGACACCGCGATATTGTAGGCAGGCGGCGCGTCTGGAACGAAAGTCGGGGGAGGGGGGGTCATCGCGTGGTGTGTGTATACGTGATACCATGCAGGTATTACACGAGGGCACGCTGCTGTAAGTAGAAGTGGCAGGGAAAAACAATCAAAACTGAAACAGCAGTCTTGCCTCAAGGTTGTACAGCGCAACCGGTAGCCTGATACTATTTGATGGCAACGCAGAGATGTAGTCTCCTACGGGTTTGTGTATGTAGACCACATGGCGAACGGCGGAAATGGGCCAAACGTCCGTGAAATTGTTGTGTTGAATATTTTCAGTGCTTTCTTTTCCTAAATACTTTCCCATTTTCTGTCTCCGGATACTGTTGAACCTATATGCTGGGCTCTCTGAAAAGTGTGCCAGAGGCCGGGAGGAGTTTCTCTAGATCGAGAAGTACATGACGACGCATGGACGGATGGATTTTATTTTGCGCCTTATCGCACTCTATCATCCCTCTGTCTAATTCGACATGGCACATTATCAACACGGGAGGGCCTGGTCTTTCCTTCAAGTTAAATCGGAAGTACAACCCGTAGGTTGCACAAGAGTTATCACCCCACCCCTCCCTCTTGACCGAAGGAGATGCCACATATGTGAAACAGTCCATTTTCGGAAAGATCTCGACGAGGTGGTTCCAACGCCACCATTTTCGACCTCGTTCCTGCTATTGATCAAGCTCTGAAAAGTCGGGTGGCATGTTGGCAACCTACAACCTAATCTCCAGCAGTATACCTACCATGCCCACGCGGGTAGATTTAGAGGTACGCGATGACTCGATGATCCATGAAGTTGATAGATGGAACTGCGAGCAACGAACGGTGGGGAAAATATGACAAGCAGAGGTGAGCACGCAGTTCAACGGTATGTGCGAAGCACAGCAGCTGCCGGTTCTTTCTATCACCATGTTCATCTCCGCCCCAGCAGTATCGCTGGTGGGTGCCTGTTCGATTTTTTCTCTCCAGCAACGTGCGTGGCGAGAAATTTCTGTTTATCCAGATATTTCTGTGGGCTTGTTGGGAACGGGGAGGAACGTCGGAAGAGTTATGCAATACACAACACATGGTTACAGGTTTTGCTGTGTGTCAAACAACAGGATTCGCGCAGACAGCAGAGGCGGGAAGAGGGGCGAGGTGAGCACCATGCGCAGCACTCGTTTTCAGTGCATGATCGCTACAAACAACCCTCGTTGCAGCAGCAATCAGCACAGCGTGCTGGGGCGAGCATTGCGGGGTTTGTATTTAGTCCATGGGTCGGAGTTGCGCCTCCGACATTCCTGATGCCTGTTGCATCTCTGCCGTCCCGTGCCTGTTATGCGCTACTCTAGAGTTTTTTAGTGTGCACTTGCAGCAGCAATCAGCACAGTGTGCCGGGGCGAGCATTACGGGGTTTGTATTTTGTCGATGTGTGAGAGTTATACCTCCGAGATTCCTGATGCCTGTTGCATCTCTGCCGTCCCGTGCCTGTCATGCGCTACTCTAGAGAGTGTGCAAGCGCTGAGCGTAGAGGGGATTCATCGCACCCAGTAAACCACGTTGGTCGCACGCGACAACAAACTGCCGCGTGTGCGAGTGTGTCGTGCGCAAGTTGGCTCTTGTACCGACTGCGGGATCAGAGAGAGGCACCCCGATACCACGAGGTCTGGGATTGCAACGGATTGTTTTCCGTTGGCAGCTCAAGTGGAGCCGCTCTGCTTGGGTCAAGTACGCAGCTTTAGCCCAAGGGGTGTGGTGTTTGCCGCGCTGTGCATGGGAAGCACCATTCGCGCTGTCAGCTCTTGTAATTGTTCCGGAACATAGACTAGACTAATTGCTAGCGAGAGAGGTGGACCCCGTACTGTATCCTGCCACAACAAGACCCCCCCATGTTCAACATGCGTCCAGCAGTAGGAGCTTTCATCACATCATCACATCCCATCTACTCCCTCCCTGCCGAGTTGCTCAAGATCGATGACGACGAACCCTTCGTCCTGGGACACCTCCATACCATCCTCGTCAAGGTGTGGAACGGAGGAGATATTCCGCGAGAGTGGAAGGATGCAACCATCAAGGTGCTGTACAAGAAGGGTGACCGGTCCAACTGTAGCAACTACAGGGGGATTTCGCTACTATCTCACGTAGGCAAGGTCCCCATCTAGATAATCACCAACCGTCTAAGCGCCTTCTGCGAAGCCAACAACATCCTCCCGGAGGAACAGTGCGGATTACAACCCGGGCGATCCACCGTCGACATGCTGTTCGTCGTGCGCCGCCTCCAGGAGCTGGGGCGGAGAAAGAAAATACCGCTATACATGTACTTCGTCGACTTGAACAAGGCGTATGATTCGGTGGACCGAGAGATGTTATGGAAGGTGCTGGCCAGGGCCGGGATTTCCGCGAAGCTGATCGAAGTCATCCGCCAATTCCACGATGGAATGCGGGCCCGGGTGCGCATGGACGACGGAGAACTATCGGACTGGTTCTTCGTGACACAGGGCGTGCGACAAGGATGTGTGCTATCCCCACTGCTGTTCAACATCTTCTTCGCCGAGGTCCTCGAGGTCGTTGTCATCCGATTCAGCGAGGATGATGTTGTT